TATTCACACACACGTTAAAATAATTCAAAAATGGGTAAAATTAAACAAAAATAAAATCACGGATGAAGATGCCTATTTATGATTTTCTATTTAACGACCGGATTACAGTTTAAATTATGCAGGACACATATATTTTCGAATTTTATTTTTTTAATAAAGTAAATAAATAAAAATGGGCCGAAGTCACAAATAAATCAACAAGGTGCCGCACAGAAATTCAAAATTGTACAGCAGGGCCAATTATTATTTTTTTATTTATTTTTTTTTTTTTTTGAAGCGATTGTCGTGCGAAACAAAAATCACGTGCTCACACCATGTTAGCGCTCCTTTGGTGAGCGTTTCACCAAATATTTTGACTAATACTGATTCAATCTCCTACTTAGTCAATCGTTGCCTTTTACACTCATTGTGAATGCAGTCACATGATCTCGTGGGTCTGTTGTTCCATCATATTTTGGAATACCAAGCATTTTGAACTTTTTTGGAATTGGGAGTGGAGCAGCACTTGGCTTCCAGGGTTGTTGCGAATATCTATCCATATCTACCCCTTTGACTATGGGCGGCACCCCGGGTATCTGCTCTATGCGCTCACTTTGCTCTTTGAGCTGTTTCTGCAAGGTTAATACTTAATTTTGTAAATCTAAATTAACTAAATTACCTAGTTCTCCATCTTGCGATTCACTGGGGGTTACACCGCTGCCTGAATTAACAAGCCCGGAATGAGGGTTCTCCAGAGTGTTGTTATTTGGAGTAGGTGTGGGTGGTGCAGCAGGTAACTGACTAACTAAGGCCTGAACGGCTTTATTGACCTGTGCGGTAATAAGTTTTTGCAAAGCCTCATCCATAGCTTCAACATTTTCGAATTGAGCCTGTCCATCTATATGAGATCCCTCAGGAGTGCCTTCACGAGTTCGCCGAGGAGAGCCTTATGGAGAAATAATCAGTGCGTTATTATCCTAAGGGTCTCTCTGAAGTTGTTGGTTTATTTGGTTTTCTTGGTTTCTTTGAATGTTGTCATTGTTGTTCGACATAGTTGATGCAACAAGGAAAGTTAAGCGAAAAGAAAATAGATTATCAGATTCCCGGTAACGGAACCAATTTGTTTAACCAAAAAATGGAATTTTAGTCAATGCTAGAATTTAGAAGAACACGGGTTACTCATAATCGAAAGAATATGCAAAAGAGAGTAATTTGGGTAGCAAGAATATAATTAGGAGAAAAATAAAAAACCAAAGTTTATTCCAATAGTGTTTCGTGTCCTTACAATTGATCAGATATCTCCCTTTTATAGATATATTAGGGATATGCGTTTTGCCCAAATCATAATAAGGCTATTATGAATAATTAAAGATATTGAATGTTACGTTACATAATCATTATATTCAATACAAATTCTCTAACGTATTCAACATTTAATGCCTATTAAATACTGTATCTACACTCTTTTCTATTGTCATATCCATTCCTTTTGATTATCGGATATAAATGACTTAAATAGGTACGGGCACTGAATCCTTCGAATAACCGCCCGTGCCTTTTCCTTTGCCTTTGCTCGTTTCCGTTGCTGCTCGTGCCTCTTGGCTAATTGTAATTCTTTGACCATTTGACCAGTCCACATGTCTTGATACGTCACTTTTATATATAATTTTTCCCAATACAAAAACGACCTATTGAATCGTTACACTATATTTGTAACTCTAAAACCTTTTTGATCGTGATGGAGTTTTACATGTCAAATTTTCGAAAATGTGTTTTTGTTTGGGATATTTTATTCAAATATTATTTTCATCTTAAAAATGATTATTTACCTAATAAATTTAAAAACTGCAATTAAATATTATAGACGGTCCAAAAACTTGCCATCCAACTAATTGACTCGACGTTTTACAATGTACCAACTATTCGAATACCCTCCAATGTCGTTTTCGAAGTGGATAAGAATGACACACCTTTATTTATGGCGTACTCTACTTTGATGCAATAATACTTAATGTTCATACGCATCTCATGGGGTAGATATACCCCGATATGACATAACTAACTACACGGGGTATGGTCGCAAAATTAAACCATATATAATTTCTGACATTTAAAGTGTCAAATGTATGACTGACATTTAAAGTGAAACAAAACCAGCTAAATCGATTTCCAATGGTGATTTACACCGTCGGTCGCCATAGCTATTACCTTCACAGCTGCTCATAACATTCATATCAAAGCGACCAGCGAAACCTAGCTGCTGTTGCTATTTCTCCCTCGCCGGCGGCTTCTCTCCCCTCGTTTAGCCATCTGCTGCAGCGGCAAAAGGTACTAAGGGCTCATTCCTTATTTGGAAGAATTTGCAAAAGTTTTCAAAGATTTTGTTTCACTGATAAATATATTTGAAACTTCTTCAGATTTTTTTGGTTGTGGTATATTTTGAAAAAAGTTTGTAAAGCACATATAAATAAAGAACATCTGCAAAGAGGCCTTTCATGACCTTAGCTAAAAATAAGCGCGCAGTTCCCTATTTGTTTTCTCATTAAGAGGAAAATGATTAGGATTGAGTTTAATTGCAATTTACAAATAAAAGTCTAGAGTATGAATTAATAAGTTCTTTGCATTATTTAAAGTTTGGTTCAAATAAAAACTACCTGTTCGGTGTTTTCACCAAAAACAAATGCAAGACATGTATCTTATATTCACTAATGGTTAAGTGATATGAATCTTTCATCACTCATGATTAAGTGATATGTATCTTAAGTTGCATAATTTGGTATAAACATCAGAGTGGAAATAAGTATTTGTCGTAGGAAACAACATAAGATTTTGTTAACTAAACCCTCGATCGGTGCTAGATATATAAACCCATAGAAATTAAGTCGCTAGTATTTGTTTTCTGTTATATTATGGAGTTTCCATTCAACATTAGGCACCATATCTCTCAGCAAATTTAGGAGGTTAGATTTTCAAGCCTGTCTCCTAGGGAGTATCCGATATATATAGAGAAGATTTCAACCCTGGTAGACAGCTAGAATTTTTCATTTATAACGAGCATGTCATTTATTGATACTTGCAAAGTCTTGTAAATTTTGATAAGCTTGGATGTTATTTAAATATATGCAGAGACAATTGAAATAACAAGATCATGGCTTTCTTCCGGGCATTCTGGAACAGTCCCGTTGGCCCTAAAACAACTCACTTCTGGGGACCTATGGCCAATTGGGGATTTGTCATTGCTGTATGTTCCCAACCTCCGTTTTTCGTTTTCGTTAAATTATCTAATGTATAAAGTTCCTTATTTTTCTTCCGAGTGCAACTCTCTGAAGTTTATGAGAACTAATATGTTAGGGAATGATGGATTCAAGGAAGCCAGCAGATGCAATATCCGGGAATATGACTGCAGGTGAATATTAGTGTCATTTTACTAAAACAATTGTCTGTTTGTCCTTTCTTTTTGGTGCAAAATAAGACGATTTTCTGTGGAAACAGAACGTCTGGTGCTCGGCTTTTGATCTTGCATAAAATATTGTCTCAGTTTTAGACCATTCTTAAATTGTGGAATTCTGATATTGCTTGTGTCTCTTTGGGTGCAGTATTATGTGTGTATTCCTTATTGTGTATGAGATTTGCATGGATGGTACATCCTCGCAATCATCTGCTTCTGGCTTGCCATGTTTCAAATGAGTCAGTGCAGCTCTATCAACTTTCCCGTTGGCTAAAGCATCAACGGTAAATGTTTCCATTCACAAGTTCGGTAGTGACATTAGCAGAAATAACAATACTATTTGAACAATTATAAAATACTTCAAAAGTTCTGGTACCTGAACCAGAGTTTTGAGCGCCTTAATTTGATGTAAATCTGGCTGGATCAACTTTCGCTTTTCCTGTATTAATCACCTTTTGCCTTCTTGTTTCAGTGAAAAATAAAATCTGATCTTTTTCATGTTGTGCTTATCTTTAGGTACTTGCCGCAGAAGGAAGACAATGTTTCTTATTGACTTAAGTTCCTTCGTTTCATTCCCCGACAAGTTGACGACCAAAAGAGAGCAAAAGTTGCTTCATATTCCGCTTGTACTAAAACAACTTGTATTTTTACACTAAATTACATATATGTAAGGTGCCAAATTATTGCATGTTTCCTTATTTCGTCTATAATAGAGTTAGCTATCTTTGTGGTAATGTACAAAGTTGTGAAGAGAGCCGAACATATGGAACGAGGGAAGTGGCTCACTGGCAATAGCTCCATAGTCTTCTGCTCATAATCCTAATAACCTATCTGACATTATATCATTTAGACAGATCTTTTGACCAAATTTAAATCCAAATCAAAGCACAAATACAAATACAAATACAAAACTGAATTCGAAGCTGGAGCGAGCGAGCGACGACGCGAGGCTTGTCTTCTTTTCAACTCTCTAGAAGCTAGAAAAAGTGCTTCTTTATATAAGCACAAGAATTTTTTCTTTTTTTCCGATGAGGGATAAAGTTTCTTAGTAAAAATAAATCCTTTTTTATTTTTCTCCTTTCTCTGCCCTTTATTTTCTATTCATACCACAACTAAAAATGCAACAAACCTCACATAAATGGGGAACAGTTATATAATAAAATATGCATGAAAGAAGTGTGTGATTCGCCAGCAAGGAGTAATCGTATCTTGATAAGTATATTTTCCTTTGAACTTTCTGTAATGAACGTATATCGGATATACTCGGTTAATCGGTAGATTTGCATCTATGAATTGTCGAGCTTCGGTATATACCTATGCAACATAAGTCACACAATCAATACTTATCCGTCTTTAGTTTTCATTGTTTTATTCATTTCACCCATGAGCATTGTCTTATTTTGTAAGTGCCTAGAGAATTAGCCTTACAGAAATTTCCTTGAAGGGGCTTACATTTCAGACTTACATAGGTAATTCCTAAACGTGTAATCCCATAGATACACTATTTCATAATCTCATATCAACTTAGAAATCATTAAAAGCCTTAACACCTTATCCTTATTACTAAATATTATCTCATCACGAGAATGATCTAAAATTTTATTTGACAATGTTGAACGGTAATTCATAACTTTATTTTATATCCTTGAACCTAGGTCTTAGAATCTCCAGTTTACCGCTGTGAAAGCTTATGGTAGGTCATAGTCTCATTTCCCTCGATGATCTCTCGACCGTCTCTCTAGTCAGGCATTTTGTAAGTGGATCCGACATAATCTTTTTATATTACATAGTCAATTGTGATAATACCACTAAAGAACAGTTGTCTAACGGTATTATGGCTTTATCGTATGTGACAAGATTTTTCATTATACATAACGCTCCCAGTCCTTTTCTATTGTTGCTTGTCTATCGCAATACATGCATATAGTTAACAATTGTTTGGGCCAAAATGGAATATATTCTGAGAAATTTTAAAGTCATTCAGCTTCTTTACGGGCTTTATCTAAAGCAATTAGACTTCATTGTAGATCAGATGATGCATGTCTATTTGGAAGATTTTGTCACAACTTTATTCCCACCATAGGCTGTGATGGTACCCCAACGCTAACGTTAGGCAAACAAAAGATAAACAATCAACTCAAGCAACCCTTCATAACACTTTTTTAAAATCAAGAATATCAATATTAAAGCGGACTTAAGTTTAGAAACCATGGTTAAATATTTCATTCTTACTAAGTCACGAAGTATGAACAAAACATGAATCGAAATGATATAAATATTAGGCACAATCATGAACATCTACAAAAAATTTCCAAAACCCGGTGTCATAAGTACATGAACATCTAGTAGAATATACAAAATTACTATAGGTACTGTTCGGAATAAAAAATAGACAAAATAAGATAAACATAGGGGGAATGAGACTCTGAGCGCTACCGGTCGAAGTATGGAAAGTAGCTCACCAATAAGTCTCCAACTAATGCGACTACGTGCCCGAGTGACCACCTGATGTACTTGTCTCAGTACCTGCATAATTAGTGCAGAAGTACAGTATGAGTACGTAATCGTTGCGTACCTAGTAAATATCTAGTCTAACCTCGAAGAAGTAGTGACGAGGGGTCGATATTGACAGTTACTAGTGGTCCAATTACAGTGTACATAAAAGTAGTCAGGTATGAAATCCAACAAGTAGCAACAAAATAGATAAATATAAATAACATGGTTCTCAACATAAGAATAATTATGAAATCATCAAATAGCACAAATTGTGTTGAAGGAAACAAAGAATACAAATATCAAGTACAATATCAAATCTCACGTAAGAAAAACTCATATGTACTCTAACTCTAACGAATATAATGCACAATTTTGCTATGGCGAACGACCCAATCTTATAAAAGCAGTGTTATATAATACTGTCGAGGTCGTACGACCCAATCCTTAGATGCATCTCATAATACTGTCGAGGCGAACGACATATTCCCATAATAATATTTTATAACACTGCTGAGGTGAATAACAATCTCATCGGAATAGAGAAACCTTCATCGTGCCACTAGCCCCACTTGCAAAGATACGCGCGAGTCAAGAAAACATGGAACTACCGATCACACAAATACAATATGAGGATAGGAATACAAGAGAAATCATAATTTTTACCAACAATCAAATATCCCGCCAAAACATAAAGTAAAGAGGCTCGGTCAAATATGTAAATTCTAGTCTCAAGCTCAGTTATAAATTCAAGTAATCAAACATGCAAGAATGATTTAAGTAGTATAGCTAAGGTATGATGTAGGTCTAAGAGGGCGTTTGGATTGGCTTATTTTAAGTTCTTATCAGCTTTTAAGCACTTTTATAATTTTTGTGGTGTTTGGCAATGATAAAAAGTGCTTAAAAGCGCTTACTTTTAGGCATTAAAAGTACAAAAATAAGCCAAAATTCGAAAGTTGGATATCGCCAATTTATGGCTTTTGGCTTTTAACTTAAAAGTTATTTCTTAAAAGTCAATCCAAACACCCTCTAAGTCAACCTGGATATAAATAAGAATCTAGCTTATGCACGGACGCTCGTCACCTCGTGCATACGTAGCACCCAAAGCATGTATCACATAGCAAATAAAATACCTACAGGGATAATTTCCTCTTATAAGATTAAGCAAGAGACTTACCTTATTTTCAAGTCCAGTACTCGATTCCCACACTTATTAAAACCTCAAATCGATTCCGAGCAATGCAAAGCTAGACAAAGGAATGTGCAAATCAATCACTATATGCTCAAGCACTCATAATTTAACTATTAAAATCAATTTTCAACCCCACTCGAAAAGTAAAGAAAAGTCAATCACGGGCCCACGAACCCGGTTTTTAAAAGTTTTTGAAGATAAATATTTGTCATGGCATCACGAACTCAAATATATTATTTATATCCAGTTCAATAATCAATTTTGTGGTCAAATTGTATTTTTACCAATTCAAGGTTTTCTAAACAAAATCCCCAAAATTTTACTAATTTCTACGTTACAATCCTCATATAATACATGTATTTAACTCACAATAGGTAAAAATCAATCACTTAGTGATGCTTGATGATAATGGCACTTTAAAAAGCTCCCAAATCGTCCAAGCCAAGAAAAAATAGTGTGAAATTGTGACGACCCGACTAGTCGTCTCATGATTTATCGCTCTGTTTCCCCCATTTCTACTTTGTTATGCTTTATTTATCCGTGTTATGTGGTATCGGGTTGGTCGGATCGAATGCGAAATGATTTTGGTAAGGTTTGAGATACTTAGTCTCTTTTAAGAAAAGCTTAAGTTGGAAAAAGTCAACCGGACGTTGACTTATGTGTTAGAGGGCTCGGAAGTGAATTCCAAGGGTTCTGCTAGCTTCGGTAGGTGATTTGTGACTTAGGAGCGTGATCAGAATGGGTTTTGGAGGTTCGGAGTAGGTTTAGGCTTGAATTGGCGAAGTTGAGATTTTGGCGATTTCCGGTTGGTAGGCGAGATTTTGATATAAAGGTCAGAAAAGAATTCCAAGAGTTGCAGTAGTTTCTTTAGGTCATTTGGGATATGTGTTCAAATTTTCAGGTCATTCGGACGTGGTTTGGTTGGGTTTTTTATCAAAAGCGGAATTTGGGAAGATTTTAGAAAGTTTGGCTTGAATCCGATGTGTTTTGGCTGATTTGATATTGTTTGAGGTGTTTTGATGATTGGAACAAGTTTGAATAAGGTATTAGGATATGTTGGTGCTTTTGGTTGAGGTCCCGGGGGCCTCGGGTGATTTCGGATGGTTGACAGAGAGGTTTGAGACTTGTGAAGTTGCAGATTTTTGCTGATTCTTGTGTTTTCGCACCTGCAGATTTTGGACCGCAGATGCGGAAAAGGTGATCGCAGAAGTAGATAAATGCTTGGGAGGCAGGAACCGCAGATGCAGTTGTGGAGACCGCACCTGCGAAGGCGCAGATTTGGTTTTGGCTGAGTTAAATGAAAACCGCAGAAGCGACTCATTGACCGCAAATGCGGTACCGCAAATGAGGTACCGCAAATGCGGTTGAAGTACCACAGATGCGGAAATGACTGGGGCCAGAATGGTATATTTTCTCCTTCGCGATTTTCAGAGGGTTTCTTCACTTGTAAGCACGAATTTTGGAGCTTTGGGCGATTTCGAAGAGAGAAACCAAGGAGACTTCATTAAGGTATGGATTTTGGACCTAAAACTCATTTCTATGATAGTATTTCATGGATTAAGGCTGTAATTAAAGGAATTAAAGGGCTAAAAATTGGGAATTAGGGCTTGAGTTTAAGATGCCTTTAAATGAGGATTTGAGGGGTCATTTGGACTTCGATTTCAGTGTTCTTGGTATGTATTGACTCATGGGAGGATAAGGATTCCATTGATGTAAAAATTATCAAATTCCGAGATGTGGGCCCGTGGGTCAGGTTTTGGTAATTTCGGGATTCTTGGCATTATTTGATTGTTTTCACTTGGGCTTCGTTCCCTTGGCATATTTTGACGTCCTCGTTCTGATTTTGGATAGATTCAACGTGCGTGGAGGTCGATTCGAGGGAAAAGGCGTCGCGAAGTAGTATTTTCACCGGTTTGAGGTAAGTAACCATTGTAAATCTGGAACTAAAGGTACAAACCCCGGTATTTGACTTGTTTTGATAAATATGGTGATGTACATGCTAGGTGACG